GAATGATAGCAAAAGGAAAGTGTGTTCACTCTAAGGAATCACAAACCTCAAAGCCTGCTTAGGATTATTTGTATGCTAAATTTAATGAATACCAACAATGAGTTTCCGTGTTATATTGAGCTGAGAAAAACACAATAAAACACTGGTGTGGGCCAAGCCATCATTTGGCATAAATCAGTTTAGCTGCACCAAAGTCTGTAGAGCTATCCTGATTTTTTCCAACTGAAGCTCAGCCCCTTAGAAAATGAATACAAAAGAAAAGGCATTAATGTATAATGAAAGGTTGCCCAATTTAAAACACAGTCAGGAAATCCAAAGGCTCCCTCCAGCAGCACTGTATATTTCCTGTATATTCTGCTTATATATTCACTGAACTAAACATAAAAGCAGGACTAGAAAATGTCTCCTTAGTGCATCCCAGCTGCATTAACATTACAATAGGAACTTTAATTTTTGCAGCATCTGGTTCTTTCTCTTTTAGCGGTTCAAGCCTCATCCTGGGGAAGAACCTTCTGGAAGGGGCTCAGAGGGAATTTCACTCACTAAAAGCAGGGCAGGATTTGGTTCCATGCCCTGAGAAGGTGCCACAGGTGTTAGACATCAGCCCGTCTGGGGTGTGGATCTCCTTGCATTCACTGGGGAGCAAGGTCATCTGTGCAAAGGGTCTGTGCTCCAACAACAGCTCCAAAGCCTACTGCATGCCCCCTCTACTGCTCCTTGGCACCACTGCTCCAATGGAAGTCATCTGCTAAGGAGGTTGGCTCACATTTCTCTTATCTCCCCACTCAGTGCCATCCTTGGTCCATCCCTTCCCCTTCATCAAAAGGGAGTTGCTACACAGAAAGGAATACAGCACTGAGGCTGCACTGAATTTAATGGCCTCTCTCCTCAGGTCTGGTGAGGGGATGATAGAAGTTTTGCTTCCTCCCACAGACACATCCCAAGATTTATGCAGGTGAAAACCTGCTATGTGCAATACATGGGAATATTGTGATGGTTCACATATTAGAAGGCAACTAGAAAGACTCAAAATATATCTTCCCAAAAGAAATATTACTGGGTTTTTATTTGGAGGGCTGACTACAAATTTTTAAACCAGAACTATTTTTGGTTTAGGGAAATATGGGACTTATAGTACCTCATGGATGCCTTTTTTACATATAACCACATTATACACACACAGGCAATAGGTGAGACGTAATGGTGTCTGTGCGCCTGGTTAGTTCTGCTAAGGCTGCTAAAATTCTGAAAGCAAGTAGAAGAGGATTCATAACACAATTAGTAACGGTTCACCTGCTCACAGTTACCCTGCCTGAAAACCTGAGGAAACTCCCAAAAAACAAGTGATCTTGAGACTACACGACAAACTAGTCCTTTTTTCTTTCAAAACGGTTGGATTCCACAGCTTAGAAATAAAGAATGTCAGTTGCAGTTCAGTCAGAATTGGACACATTTTCTAAGATCAAATGATTATCTTAGCAAACAGTCTAACTTTGGATGGGTATAAGCTAATTTTGCTGCTAAACTAAGTTTGAAGCATGAAGCAGTAGTAAATTAATCCAAAACAAAACTTCTTAGATGTAGAAATAAGGTTTAGAACAGGAAATGTACACTTACCCAAAATGCATCTTTAAACTGCAGCTGTGTCATTATTACTGAATTATGGAGGGGGGAAAATTCCTTCAACTGGTTTGTTCTGAGAACAGATTAGCAGCAGCACTCAGTTTTGCAGTTCTTACCATGCACCGGCAACAGCAGAAAGTTAAATGCTTCCACGCTCCTGTTTGCTCTAAATTCAAGTTGGTGAAAAACAGCATTGGGCAGTTTGAGGAAGCTCTGTGTCATGATCTGTTACTGTGAACAGAGAGGGAAAAAAAATCCTCACTCAAGAAAAAAAAAAAGAGAAACACCCTAGCCCCAGACCTGTTTCTCTTCTGGTAAACAGTTAATATTGAAATGAGGAAGCAAAGAAATGTCAAGCGATGTCAGCCTGCTTCTTGCCATGTGTGCATGTAAGCTACTGGCAAAAAGAAAAAAGAAAAAGAAATTGGTGAGAGTATCTGATCACCTACAGGAGGAGAGTTTGCAATAACAAAATTAATTAAACCAGCACAATAGAAAGAGATAAAGAAGAAATCAGATTCAAACAGCCGCACACTATAGCAGTATTGCAAAAAATGTATGCATGACATTTCTTTAGAATCTTTTGATCTTGGCAAAAGTCCATATGCATACACAGGAAGTGTAGTTACATAGTATATTTTGCAACTGCAAATTGCTTTCAATCCTCCAGCAGAACTAAGGAAATCATAAGGTTTCTTTTTTATATACATTTTTCTCTGATTTGCAAACTACCTTCTTCATACAAATGTTTGTAAATATGCATGTGTGTGTGTGTGTTTACTAAAAGAAACATGCTAGCATATGAATGGTAATCCAGAGCTTTTCTGCCATTACTACATAAGAAATTTAAAAATGTGATAATTGAGTAAAATGAGAGCTAGCAAAAAACAAACTGTTCATGTGTGCTATGTCATCTGTAAATAAAGGGCTAAGGAAGTGACTGTTATATGCACAATGAAGCTGGATAAATGAGCTTTAGAAATTAATTCCAAACTCTGTAGAAATCTAGAAGGAAGGGAGAAATTAGGATTAGAAACTTACTAGCACAGAGATCTGAAGTTAAACATTTTGAAGCACAGACATTTAATTTGGCAGCATGCAACACCACACCCACTGAAGCACTGAAGTGCACATTATTTAAAACAAGTAGCTACATATGTTAATAGATTTATTTTATAGGTATGTAAATAGTGATAAATATGATCACTCTGCTTTCTTGAAAAAGCAGTCTATCTGTGTTTTTCCAAATTCACATTGTGTAATACTCAGTGCAATTTTTGTTAATCTCTTTCAAACTTTTGAGAGCTTTTGTATTTTAAAATTCTGACTGGAATTTGAAAAGGGAAACTTTTCAAGAGAAAAAAATATCCCATACAAGAAAGCTCCCTTCATCAAACCACTTATTCCAAACTGGTCCTCTATGTGCTCAATTCAATTGCTGTTCTGCTAGAAAAAGATTAAGCCTGGCATATAGAAACAGCAACAGCACTTGTATCTATCTTTCAAGGATTCCAAAGCACTCACTGCAGAATCGAGAGCAATACCTGTAAAGATCCAGCAGATCATTTGGCCAACTGGGGTAGATCACGTTAAAAATGGCCATTGAGTCTAACTCAGTTCACCCACAATTTGCATCTTACTCTTAGATCCGTAGTTAGGTGGATCCAAGTGTGAACTGTACAGAAGTTCCAGGACGGTTAGTTTGGTCAAGAAATGGCTGACCCAATCTAATTTAACTGTATCTCAGAGGCGTACTAAGTTGGATCGGGTGCAGCTAAACTGATCTAACTGAACTCTACACATTCCCAGTGCAGCCCTGAGACATTTAGCCCCCCAAGCCTCTCCCCCTCCCCTGAGATGGACAGAACTCCTCTGCTAACCAGCCAGCCCTCGCCCTCCCCCCTTGATCCTGCAAGCCACTCCTGGTCCCAGTTTTACCAGAGTTCACCAGTGCAGGGAGCTGATGAAAGTAAGTCTGGGGGAGGGGGGCTGGGAGGGAGTAGGACTGGGGGGTTGGTTCACCAGTGGGAGTTTGTTCATCTGGGGAGTTGGAGGGCTAAAAATAGCCCCTGATCCAGGGGGGAGAGAGCCCCACTGAGTCTGCTAACTCACTCCCCATGGAGCTGTCAACTGCCTCCTCATCCCCCCATAAAGCTGCCAGCCATCCCAGTCTGCCTGCCTCTCCTCTCACCCTGACTTACTTCAGTCACGCTCCCGGGACCAGTGAATGCCAGTAAAACTGACCCCAGGAGTGGTTTGTGATATCAGGGGTGATTTGGCAGCACTGGGCGAAGGGGGGTCCAGGGAGGCTTGTGGGGATCAGAGAGCCTCTCCGATCTTGCTAACCCCCTTCCCCCAGATCCTCCCAAGCTCTCCCATGGACCCCACTAGCCTCCTGATCCCCCTCAACCTCCCCAAACCCAGTAGCCGCCCAATCCCACCAAAACCTCCTGGACCCCACCAAACACCTGCACACCCCATTAGCTCCTCCAAACCCCTCTGCTGGCTCTCCCGTCCCACCCCGCTACCCCAACTTACCTTAGCCTGGGAGCCATTTCTACCTTGTTCGAACCCCTCAGACTTCCAGCAGTAATGTCTGTATGAAGTCTTAGAGTCTTCTCAGGTCACTGAGGCATCAGCTGGACACAAGGGTTTACTGGCATCTGGCTGTTTGCAGGGCCGGATCCATTATTATCACGAGTCATGGATTATAGTGTCAAAAATGTAACGGCTGGTTTTTAAACAAAAAAATTGATACCATCTCTTCACCTCAAAAGAAGGAAACTAGTTACAGATCAAGGGGAATGTGCTGATATTATCAGTGACAGTAACAAAGCGTGGAGGATTTTTGGATGTACTGTATTGGCATTTCAGAAGAGGGAAGTGAGTGGGGCACCATGAGAGGAGTTGGAGCTATTGACTATGCCAGAAGCTGAGTGAAGGTTTTACCACACAGGCAAACTTGCTGTTAAATGCAGCTTGAGGGTGGCTAAAATAATTCTCCACAGTCAGCAGCAGGGAAAAAAGGGGGAGGATATTTAGGAAAGTCAATACGTTTGGAATTAGCATTTTCAAAATAAAACATTAACAATGTCTCATTTTAAAATTGACCAAAATTAAAAAAACAAAACAAAACAGTGAAAAGAATTAAATAGCCCCCCAAATGCAATGAAATAAAATGAACCAAAGCATTTTATTTCAGTCAAACAAAGTGGCTGTGCCAAACCCAAACTGAATGCTTTTTCCTGTCTGGTTTTTTTCCAGTTTGACCCTCAAGTCCAAAGAAGACATTAGTAGCTCAGGGTTGTATATTGAGAACTCTGGCTTTGATGTACCTGAGGTATTGATCACATACTTAACTGTAAGCATGTGAGCTGCCCTACTATTTCAATAGTACTGCTCGTGTGCCCAAATCCATTGTGGACTGAAGTTGAGCTAGAAGGAGTCAATAAGGAGAGATGATTAGAAGAAGCAATGGGAGTGTAAAAAGGAGGAGTAGAAGGATACAGAACAGATGGGAAAGAATGAGTTTATGATGATGCTCAATTGCTTAAGCCAGGGGATGCTCAACCCCTGGTCCATAGGTCATATCCAGTGCCTGGCACCTTGCCACCTAGCCTGTGGAGCACCCCATGGGTCTGTGAGGAGCCCTATGGGCTGTAGCCCTATATGCTAGATCTGGCACACAGGTGGCTTGGTGCCCAATCCTTGGCATGTGGGGCTGGGCAGAAGTGGTACAGGGTGGTGCATGGCCTGATCCTGGCACATGGAGCCTGGTGGAGAAGGCATGAGCTCTGGAACCTGGTCCCCACATGAGGCTAAGTAGAGGTAGATCAGAGTGCCAAGAGCTTGATCCCAATACGTGGGGCCAGGATGGGGCAGTGCAGTACCCTAGAGCTCCAGTCCCAGTATATGGAGCCTGATAGCAATGGCATGGGGTCCTGGGGCTGTAATGCTGGTATGCAGGGTTGGGCAGAGGCAGTGCAGGTCCCAGGGCCTCAATCTCTGCATAGAAGGCCAGGCAGGGTGCTGCAGAGTCTTGGGGGCCCAACCCAGCACATAGGGCTGGGTAAGGGCAGTGTGGTCTAGGTTCAAGTTTGCAGGCCTGATCCTAAGCCACAGGATCAAATCTGGCCCATAGACTGGCCCTGACCCATTAATTTGGTCCACGGGGCAAAAGATTGATCACCGCTGGCTTAAGCCTCACAACACTCCTGTGAGAAAAGGAAGTTTTATCTCCATTTTATAGCTGAGAAAACTGAGGCACAGCATGGCTAGCTGGCCCAAAGTTACAGAAGCCAGGGATAGACCAGTAGATTTTGAATCAGGGTTACTGGGGTTGATTCCTGGCTCTGACTATTCAGATATGTATAGCTGTATTGTATCACAGCTGTGAATATATAGATAATATTTTTCAACCAGCAACATGCCTACAGTGTGAAGGATAGATATTAGGGGTGTGTGAAGCGGGCCCTAATTCAATTTGGATTTGGCCCAAATCAGGAACAGTGTTTTGATTAATTGATTCAGATCACTGTCTCTGATTTGATTCAGCCAAATGGGAATCTGAAGATTCGATGCTGATTTGGAGAATCAGCGATTTGGACACAGACACAGCTTTAAAAGACTTTTCTACATACCTCGAGGTACCAGCATGGCTCGTGAATGCTGCAATGCTGGGGTGCATGGAACATCCCAGAGGAGTGCTTGGGGAGGGCCCTCCATGTGCTCAGCAGTGAATCTGGAAGCGGACCGGAAGTACTTCTGGTCCACTTTCCAGTCAGCTGAGGAGTGCACACCCCTCTGGCTCAGCGATCGGCCCTGGTGGACCCTGTGTGCCTCCCCCCCAACCCAGGAGGCACCAGTCACTGAGCCAGGGGGTCATGGGTTAGCCCTCCAGTGCACTCCTGGTGGACCTGGAAATGGACTGGAAGTGCTTCTGGTCCGCTTCTGGGTCTGCTGCTGAGCAAGCTGGGGAGCCCCCATGATTCTGTGGGACACTTCATGCACCTCAGTATCACAGCAGTCACAAGCTGCCTTGTACCTTGAGGTATGTAGAAAAAACATTTAAAGCTGTGTCTATGTCCGAATCGCCGAATCTTTCCGAATCTCTCTGAATCGATTTGGAAGGTTCCAATTCAATTCAGAGAGATTAAAGGGTCGTCTGATTCAAATTAGATTCAGAGATTTGGCCACCGAATCAAGCCGAA